TTTTCTTATATCCTCTTTCCTTTATTCGTAGAAAAACATTTTTAGCATGTTAGTGTGTGCTTCCATATAAAGTATTGTATTTATGGTCGGAGCAATGAGCGTAACGCACAGAAGGAAACATTTCCGACATTTCCCCATAATATATATATATTCTTGATCTATAGCCGAGTCTATGTCTGTCTGTCCGTCTGTCCGTCCCTCTAGATGAGCGCCTGGATACCAGAGACTATAAGAGGTAGAATCACCAAATTTTGTCTGAAGACTCATGTGATATCACGCTGTTACAAGTGTGTTTCAGGGTTTCGCCGCGCCCCTTCCGCCCCCACAAAGGGCGAATATCTCTCATATCCAAAAACTATATCCTATCCTAAAAACTATCATATCCGAAAACTATTCCGTAAGGAATTGCCATATCTATCACATTACCGAATCAAGATCGGCTCAGATCATTGTTATAGCCAGAATGAATAAATTTATCTTGCAGAGGCTTCCCCCACTCCTTCCAGCATGCTTGCTTGTTGTTATCATTCTTACGAAGCGTTTCTCATTCCTACTCGTTTTTTTCCGTATATTTACTTTTGTACATATACGTATAAAGGTATTTCTAGATATTTTGTTCTAGCTAGTTTCTAAGCCAAAATGTGTTGTTATATGTATCTTTTTAAAGAAAATAATGTTTTGTATTATAGATTCAACAGAGCCACGTGCAGTTTTGAGTGGTAGTAGCGCTGGCATCAACTCTGTGGACTTTGATTCCACGGGTGCGTACATATTGGGAACATCCAACGATTACGGCGCTAGAGTGTGGACGGTGATAGATAATCGGTTAAGGGTGAGTTAACGAATTTAATCTAGAAAATGTTGCGATTTGTTAGTCAACAAATTGTCAGGCTGTAGCTGTGTACATAGGAACCACAAAGATTTAATACTTTATTATACTTAACACTGGAATTATTGGCCATAATCTAAAACACGAAAACCGATATCCGACACTGTAAACTATCTTTATTTTCTTGATACGGATGATAAACCAACTCGATTAGGATTGAATGCGTATGACCGTGTTGACCGCAGGGAATTGTGATCTAGCCATTCATAGCATTTGTACGAAGATCTTATGGTACAGACTTTATGGTTCTTACCAGTTCACTGAAACTCATAGTAAAAACATATTTAGAGGCATGATATGACTTCGACATCACCTGTCTCGTTTCTTTGTATGTATGAATTTGGTGGTGGTTAAGAAAAATGTTCGGTCGGAGCTGACGACATGCAAAACAATGTTGTTTACTACTAAATAAGGAATAGAACCGAAGCAGTGGCTTTTGTTGAAAAGGTGAGAGTGAAACAGGACTTGCCATTAAATAAGTAAACGCTGCCTTGTTTGGTGATAAGCATGTGAAATGTATACAAACGTTTCTGATTTCCAGAAAATGTTTGATAGGGATGCAACGGATTGTCACCTATGTAAATATTTTGTATACCCGTATAAAGACTCCTGACAGTCAGACAGCCAGAAGGATCCGACCCCATAAAGTACATATGTTTCAGTTTACATAAATTTACCTGCTCAGAAATGTTAATTGTGTAAAAATTAAGGTTCAGACTAAAGAAATTTCTTACATGTGAACTGACAATAAAACTTATAGTCCACATGCAGTTGGCCTGAATAGCAGCAGTATAATCCTCATTGCTCCAAGCTTCATCTTAAGCCTGGTCAGGTTAAAACAACGAGATCCGCGACTTCATCCATTTATGCTGCACATGGTCAGCATGCGAATAAACACACAATTGCAATTTCTTCCTGTTTCTTCACGTTCTCTATCTATGTGATACACCTCTTCTAACTGGTATTTCTGGATTGACATTTAAACGGTTCTTTTGCGACCAACTGGATACTGTAACTGAAGACTAGCGCCGCTGTGCTGCAACATTAAAATGAGCACACTGACTTGTACGGCCTCTAGCCACAGTGCGATCAAACATCCATCTGACTGTTATTTGCTAAGTTATAAGTTATTATTTACATAGCTCAAATGTCTACTCAATATAGATTACAATCTGAATTATTCAAAAGTTACAAATCGAATTCTTGAATTTACATATTTAAAATGTTTTGCAAGAATAGATTCTATGTTTTTAAAGAAGAGGCGCTATAAACAGAACAGTATAAGAAACTAAATAAAACTGGTGCAATGAATGTTCATTGCAATAAGATAAACGAAATCAAGAGTAGTGCTATTCAAAAATAGATCAGAAATTTGTGTATTTAAGATTGAAACTGTTTAACATACTTAGGTGTCGCCAAGCATTAAAATGTTAGCAATTTTTGATGTTAGCATGTTAGCATGTCTAATCGTGTATAACAAATATCTGTTTCAGCTTCTTCTCACTTGAAAAAAAGTGCAAAAAGTAGCATATAGTATATTTTAGACTTGATTTTGGACTATATTCGGTAATTTGTGCTTTCATTATTCTTGATACCAAATCATACCAAAACTTGACTCTTGACAACCAAACAAGATCGCTTTTGAAAATGTATATTAGTAGTCGAGTAATATGTATGAATATCACAATTTCGAAAGAGAATTTACTCTTCGCAAAACGGCAAGACGCCGGCACTGAGCAGAGAGACGCATGATGCGCTCTTTATCCAAACAAAGAATTTATTCTCTCCACATTGTGAGAGCTACTTACAGTCAAGCCCACTGCGCGTACATTGACCGTTCGCCTTGACCGGTTGCCGGTGGAAAATCAGCTTAAATGCTCTTTCTTTATACTAACATATAAGGGCAAGAGCATCCAAACGAGCGAGACTAAAACTTGGTCAAAAAATTGCAGAAATGTAATTAAAAATTGTCTTCTATACACTTAAACATAGCGTTTTGCATTATTTAACCTGCAGATAGTGAACATATTTGTACCACTGAACAATATGCGGCTCGCTTTTAATCTTTGACTCAACATAGCTAGTACGATTTATGTTATCTTCGAACTTTTAACCTATGGATACATATGTGTAAAAAAAAGGAAAAAACTAACGTCTAAGGTTAAATTCAGTTTAGGAAGTAAACACAGTTGCAAAAATGTTCCATCTATGCTGGAGTAGGTTTTTGTATGTTTATGATAAGATGCTTTCAAAAGTGCGAAAGTTATTTCGGGCCTATTCTGTATATACATATGTAGGTACATTTTGATGATACTAAAGAAAATACATGCCTAACTAGAAGATTAATTGAACATTTGAATTCTTTCGTCCCGTTAAGGATAACGTGCGTTAGCAATTATTTGAAATTTTGACTCACAAACTGGTCAATAACGTTGATTCATGCAGCTCAAAGTTAAGCAGAAATTGCTGCTACTATATTCCTTACACTGTGTGATTTTAATAAACTGTGAAAGCATTATCTAACACCAAATCCGTCCCAGCAGATGGCGTACCAATAAACTGTTATGCTGCAGTTATGTGTACTGCACAGAATTCGAGTTGATTTATGAATCTAAGGACGTAATTAAATGTCTACGACCACTTTAATGGTTCTGGTGAAATATACTTATTCTAAGCCATCAGTCTGCTACAAATGTGATCTATGTCATGCCAAAAAAGGGTTCGTTGTCGCCTGGACCAAACAAAATAAAGTTTTATGCTACATATGTACATATATATAGTCCACGCTTATGAGTTCGTCTTTCTGCTGCGCGTTGTAAAAAATGTTGTTTGTTTTTTAATGGTCTAACTGTCTGTCTTGTCATTTCACCTATTGAAGCACACGTTGACGGGCCATAGTGGCAAAGTAATGGCAGCCAAATATGTACAAGAGCCAATAAAAGTAGTAACCGGAAGTCATGATCGTACCTTGAAGATTTGGGATTTGCGCAGCATTGCTTGTATAGAAACTAAATTTGCTGGATCAAGTTGCAATGATCTCGTCACAACAGACAGCCTTGGTTCAACGATTATTAGTGGGCATTACGATAAGAAAATTCGTTTCTGGGATATACGTACTGAAAAACAGGCAGATGATGTCTTAATGCCGGCAAAAATCACTTCGCTCGACTTATCAAAGGGTGAGTACACATTACAACAGAAAAAGCATCCCAAAAATTACATTATGAATGGCCAAATATATTCCATAGATTGCAATTACCTCATATGTTCCGTAAGAGACGATACAATAAAGTTATTAGATTTACGGAAGAACCAAGTTATATCAACTTTCACGTAAGTTCGCAGTAAGCGATGAAGTAAAGAACATAAAAAGAACATATTTTATCCTGCGGCAGAAATGAACACTTTAAAATCAGCTGTGATTTTGCTCGGGCTTCCTTTAACTCGAGTGGTTTAAAAATTGCCTGTGGATCAGCGGATGGTGCAATATATATTTGGAATGTTAACGGTTTTTTAGAAACTACTCTTAAAGGACACAGGTGGGTGGTTACAAGCATATAAAATTGCGTTTGTAGATATTGTATGCTTGTATGTTTTTTAAGCCCTAACCAAGATACTTTTGGAATCAATTTATTCCACAGTACAGCGGTAAATGCGGTCAGCTGGAGCCCCAACAGCAATTTGCTGGCTTCTGTAGGAAAAAGCAAACGCTGCATCATATATTCGGATTCCTAGCCCTTTATATTGCCGTAGAGGTAATCAGTTATAGAATACTGAAATGCTGATAGTCACAGCTGTTATACATATGTACATACATACATAATAGACATTCGGAGTCTGTTGTAGATAGTACATTTGGTCATCTGTTGTTAAAGGTAAATTCCATGCAGACTATTTCCTTTTTAATAAGTTCTTATTTATATTTAAATGGAAAAATAGTAAAACTGTGTATCAATATATTTATACAAGTACATTTTCTCCAACCATGAAAATAAAATATAAATATTGGTTTGACTATCTACGATTTACGAATACTAGTACTTATTTATAAATACATACATATGTATATGCATACATGACGCACATACATACATACATATATCATTAAAATGGAAAAAAGTAATGCCTTTGAGACTATGCTCAACATTTACATATACATATGCATATGTACATACAAACATCAAACAGTGAATTAAAGTCAGATGTTAATATAATTTCGAAGGGATGTTTCATACTTAGAGAAGAAGGTATGTGTGATTTGGGAATTCGTTATTAGCATCAAAGCCATTTGGCTTTTTCCATGGCCCTAAAGCTATCTGTCTAAAAAGAATATCAAAAAGTTGCATGTAGTTGATTTACCACATAATATAACTAGATATGAAAAGCTTCGCCACACTAAGACATTTTTTATTGCTGGTTTTTCCTACATTCTTGTATGGTCCAACCTTTCTAAAAATATTTGATTTCGCTGAGTCAGGCATTGGACAATGGCACGTTTTAAAAATAAAACTTATCAGATAATTTGTTTTCCTTTTCTTCATTAAAAGTAAAAGCAGAAGTATCGGTAAAAACTCTCTAATAGCACACCGTCGATTATAAATTTGTTCAGCACTTTGCTACGCTCAAATAAGGAAGCCTCTTTATCTACTTAAAATGTTCTTATAAACTTTTCCATTACTTACATTCCTACTGTGTGCCATGCCATACATAAGTACATATGTACATATGTATACCTGAATAAAAAAATCATCAGCCAGCAGACTGAACTTTTTAATGTGAACTGGAATACCGGGCAATGACTTTTGTAGTTACGAGTACGTATGGCAATTTACTAAGAAATACCATTAATGATACTTCTACCCAACAGATTTTCTTAGTACAATGAAAAACAGAGCTGCGATTTCAGAACATTCCGTACGAGCATGGAATCAATCGAAAACGATGTATAATATCAGGTATATACTCGTATGTAATCAATTCTTGATTCTAACGTCGCGCAATCGACACGATGAATCGCTAATTGGGGAAACAGCAATGGGACAGCACCGTCAATTAAAATCAAGTGTAAATTTATTTGTATCACCTTGCGCATGTTTTAATTAAAGATTCTGGAGATGTTACTGGAAAGAAACTACAACATAATCTGAACTTATTCAGTACACATATGTACATATATACAATATATGTTGGTAAATTGCCGCCTAGTTGCACCGCTAAGTAAATGAATTTCGATGAATTCAATCAGCTACATAAAGACGAAAATCTGTGTGAAGCTAAAGAGCAGATGGAGCTGCGAGCAGACAGGATACTTTCCCAAACGCTAACGTTCCTCTCGTGGATGAAGATACAAATCTGCACGAAGCCTGTTTCCTGTTCTGCTGAGGGTGTATTTATTGTCATCACTCACACCCGAGGTTACAGCTAATGATACAAACATGAATGCTGAACCTTCATACAGAGCAGGTGTACATAATTATGATGGAACGATGATGAGGATAATAATATAAACACGACTTATGACCTTATCTACCCACATGAAAAAGCGAATGCTCTAAGATTCGGTTGAGAGTGGCGTGCGTTTTAGGCGACATATATATTTCGCATCGGCTACACCGTTTTTTTTTCAGAAGTCAAAGTACATAGATATGTTGATGTTTTGAATCTATAAAGGGCCTTTTATTTTTTTATTACAAAATAGTATGCATGCCAGCTATTTCACTTGACTAAAATGTTGATTCTGATCAATCATATACACTTTGTAAATTTTTAGTTCTGAATAAAATATTTGTACTCCTGAATTACCAAATGTATGAGCCAAATGTGTCCGATTTTTTTCCATGCTTTGTACACAAAACTTTATTGAAACTTTATTTATTGCTCTAACAGTATTGTTTAAAGACGTTGGTTTACAAACACAATCTCAGGAAAGTGCACCATTTTATTTTAGCTCCTCACTTTTAATAATAATTTAAAAAGACTTCATTTTAATTATTGTTGAATTAGTTTAAATCAGACATTTCATTGCTATTTATTTAAAATAAATTAGATTTCTCACCTAAAATAGTACACATACGACATAGAAAATAAGGCTCTAAAATATGTTCAAATGTTTTTAAAAATTAAAACGATATTAATTCCAAAGTCACAAAAGAAGTTCAATGCAGAAGTCAAACTTCATTTATAAGTAAGGAAGTTGTTGCATAGAACATATGAAACCTAACACAGTAAAATGTTTTACGCAATGGCTGTATTACCAACAGCTTGAATTCCACCGAACAAAATAAACAAATTTAATTTCTCTAAAATCGTGCACTGACTAGAAAAGACAAATAGCGGTTGTTATATCAGGACGACAGGACTTCTTAGCAGATAATCAGCATTGCATTGCGTAAATATGGATTGCACCTTTTGAAGCTGACTTATAAATTATGTATACAAAATAAGTATATTAGCAGATGTTTTGGGTTTAGTAAGAATGTTGATACGGTTGTAGCTTATGACGGCGTTGATAGCAATAGGACCAAATGGCCATAATTGCCAACTGGGTAAGCAAAAATATTGTGGCGGCTGTAACGAGACCTAAAAAGAAAGGTGAAAATTGATTGGAAGAAGATGATTAACCAACAAATTAAGTAAGATTAGCTACCGAAACCAAGTTTACTTAAATATGTATTTTTTTATTATTTCTGACGTTATCTTACCAATTGCGTTCACGCAAAATCCATGGCCCTCTTCGCTAGCTGTAAACGTGGTTTCATTACCATCATAATAATCTCCGCTTCCTTGCTTATTGTGTTTAAAGCCGAATTTGTCTGTGATTTGAATAGACTGAACCAGCAACATGTCACTGGGGGGCGATTTTATTGACATATCGATATCCCGACGTTTACGTGACATATGATCTATAGAAACATAGTATTGTTATATACAGTGCTTTAATAAATACAAAAGATCGGTAGATTTTCAATCAAGCTTTATAAGCTTGAACAATAATTTACCTGTTAAATTAAGCGACCTTCTCTTTCGACCATAGGATACTAATGATCTAAATTCGCCGCTGGTGTCTTCCTGGTCACATTGGACTGGCTCACAGCTTGGCATACAAGGTGTCACCAGTGCTCGGAACTGAACGACCTCACTTGAAGGGAATTTAAACGCATCGAAATTGGAAAGTAGAACTTTTCCGGAAAGAGACCCCTTATAAATGGGACCCATGATAAAGTGATCAGTTGGGCAGCCATTAGCGTCGATTAAGATAATATCAGAGTTGTCTACGCCATCCATGGCTACCAACTCACGAACAAAGATCTCATATGGACTTTGCTCGTCAACAATTTCAAACTTCAAAGCCAGTGGATCTCCAACTTCAGCAGAGCGCATCATATCTGAGCCATCTCGGGAGGTTATTCTCATTATCACATTCGGTGAGTCGACAATGACTTCTTCGGAAAGCGCGGGCATAATATCGCCGCGCACATCTAGGTCAACGCCATTGTTTACAGACTTATTTGTTAGATCATACTGACAGGCCAACGCCAAACCCAGGTCGGAAGACGTTACTATCATGTCATGGTGTTGTATAATTATATCATTTACATATCGTCCTGAACTACTCTGCCGTACGTTACACTCTAAATCATGGTAATTCATACGTAACTCAAATTCTAATGCGCTTTTGACATCAACTGCGCAGGATTTGGGAGAGCCTTTGGCATACACTTTTCCATTAAACAGTTTCGAGGTGCGTATACGTGCCAGCATATCTCCGCCGCCGCACTCTATAGTCACGTTATAACAAGATGTCAGCTCGTATGTTGACGCTTCAGGCACCTCCAGGAAAGGCTCTTGAACATCAGCGAGAGTGGCACGACTATGGTGCGATAAGCGGCAAACCATGTCCCCAGTATCGTTGTAGTCATACGAATGACATCTAGACGTAGAAACAGTCATTATGGCAAAAAAAAAAAAAAAAATAATAGGAATATATATTTTCCTCACCTATAAGGGGAATTGAGGCAAAGCTCTCTACATTCATCAATACTGCTTACTTCCTGATATACAGAATCTACTGTTTTTAATATGCGGCCGGGTAGGCGCTTAAATTCGCACAACTTATTGGGTTCGTCGACGCAGTGATTTTCCAAATATTCAGTTCCCTCTTGTGTCTGAAAAGCGTTCGAGCCAGCCAATGTTAAACGATCCAACTCACTCAGTTCACATGCTCCAGAGAGTCGATCATAGTTAGCTGATCTACGAAGATGAAGACAAACCAATTACAAATGTATATAATAATATTCGGATATTGTTCGGCTGAGCTGTGTTAGTCTATTTAGAGAAACAAAAATAGTTTTCTCATATACACTTTTTCATACGTAAATTTACCTATCTAATGTTTCTATCTGGTTTCGTTTGCTAATTATATGTACTGTATTAAAAAGATATAAGGTTATGGGCAAAGTTTCTGCCACGATACACGCTAGTCTTTTTTTGTTAACTGAAAACTTGAATCCTAAGAAATCTTACCTGCATGTGAATTCTGTTTCACTCAAACAAAGTTCAAAGCACTCGCGCCTTGAAGTCAGCGACACGGAACGCTTCACTTCCGTCTTGAGCTTGTAGTTTTGAACACGATCGACATACCAAGCTCGGGCACAAGGTTTTACAGAAAGGCAAGACTTTTCTGCATATATTGTAAATACGGGAAATTGTGATTTTGTCAGGGCACCTAAAGGTAGGAAAAATAGATAAAGAGAAAATAAGGTAATTAGTATATTGAATTATTAATGGAATTTACGAGTGAACATTTGTATAACTGAATATATGATATTGATAAATGATATAAAAATTTTCGTACACCCTACCTGGCAACTGATCAGCGTTGGCTGAAAATAACACGCACAGTCCAGTTTCGTAATTAACTGATTGACATGTTTGGTTTTTCCTACAAGTATCCAGGCAATCAGTAAGCATTAGCGTGCCTGGCAGAGAATCCATTAGTTTTTCAGGTGCTGAGAACACAAATCTATGGGAATAGTATTTCGAAGAATGCCAGTTCATAAATTCCCATTTTGTAAAAGTAGAATAACATTTTTTATTTACCCTGTAACAATTTCAAAGCCCACCAGATCAGGATTACAATCTATTGGTTCATTATCATAATTAAGTCCACCTTCTTCAGAACCCGAAGAGCTGGATACAATTTCCTTTGTTTCTAAATCTGAAACCACCGATGGGTCAAAAATAGAGTGGCGAGTTTCAGGGGTATTTGCTGGATCTGTACCAGTGGATATTGAAACTGTTTCTGTTTGCGAAGAAAATCGGTTACCACTTTTATTTACTTCCGTATTTTTTGACTTTGATTCTGGAAATTCTGTAGGGTTGGAAATCTGTTCAAGACCATTTTCTTTGTTAACAGAGGGTATTGCTGCTGTAACCGACTCTGTGGCTATACTACGCGTGCGTACATTTTCTTTCGCAGTAGAAACGCCATATAGCATTAGCGCCAAAAAAATTTGACGCATTAAATTGATGCGTTGCGGAGGCTTAGCCATTACAACAATGTGGTTGATATCTGTAAATAACCAACAATTTTAAATCTTTTAATAAAGTTTTTAGAACAATATATGCATAAACGTACTTATGTATGCGCATATATACATACATACAGTGCTTTCCATTTTGATCTACTTCGCTGACACTATCTCAATCCGGTTAAATTAATTTGTTTGGCTTAAGACGTAATGAAAATAATGAAATCCCTACGAAAAGCAAAGACGGTTGTGTGGTTAAAACTGTGTCTGGGGCTATCAACTTAATTATATCTAAAGTACCATTCAGATTTAGAACAGAATTCGGTTGAAGTATTCAATCCATACACGAGTTTGTGTTTGTACGCTCTTAAACTGAAGTCTGTTTTATCAAAGAAACTTTTTCATAATTTAGTTTTTTTAACGAACTAACGACTTAATATTTATTGTTCAGTTAAGTAAGTACTTGGTGTATAATTGAATTTGGAAACCTGTCATTCATAATAAAAACACATACATAGGTTATTATTCATCCTTGTCCGATTATACTTTATTATTAAGTAATTCTTTCATGTCCAATTAAAAAATCATTTGAAGCATGACCTATTTTACTACTTAACATAAAAACTGTATAAAAAGCATGCAACATCCATGTGCAACAAGTTGCAAGCCGGTTGAATAGATGATCGCGAACGCCACCAGGCACCCTAACCTGTCTTGACTTCTTTAGTTTGGATCACTAAAATCACTACTACATCTAAAAATTGACCAGTTTCAATAGTAGTTTCACCAAATACGTAAGTACATATATATGCATGTCTACAAATATAAGTACATATAAACTTGCTCTTATGTAAAGATCTATATAAAACAGTCTGCACTTTACGGTTAATGCATTATATTTATAAAGTTTATTATTTTAGGGTATAATTCCTGTTTAAAAAATCATAAGTTGTTGGTCTGGTGCACATGAACATGAGTACCAACGAAGCGTGTCAGGAATGAACACTTGGGATACTGCGTTTTAACAAGTCCAAGACCGTTCTTATATATATACACAAAGCTTGTAGAAAGCTGCAGAAGAATTAGGTCATCGACTTTGCCAAAAGGATGTCTTGCTGTGCATAGATGTATGTGCATATATGTATATGAATGTATTGCATATCCCGCACCGATCATTTGAAACCCAGCCGGTATGGACACCAGAAGGAAGTGGCACTGCCTAACTTTGTGTCTGATCACATACATACCTTTTTGTACAAAATCGACCATTTATTGATGGAAAAACGTTGGACACGACATTGACTCTAGACCAATATTAATACAATATTACATATGCAACACACATAAAGTTTGAATTAAAATTAAGTCTCAGATTTACCTAGTGCTTTAAAATACCAACTTTCCATTTTCTGAAGGACTTAACATCGATTCATATTAAGCCTATTTCCGGATGCATGATGTCAATGGAAGTCAATAGAAATCCGATTTCTAAGTACTGCCAAAAACTTTCACTCTGGCGTTAATGATTATTTGATTATTCACCAAAAGGGACTGTGTGAAATGTCGAATTTATTGTACTAAATTATTTGTGCATATTCCATTTCATAAAATAAAGTTTAATTATGTAAATATTTGATTCTCAATTATTTTGTTAAAAGATATTATATTCTAGGCATTTTGTTTTCTTGCGAGATTCTAATTTTAAAATATGTTGAAACTATGTATATACTACTACTGTTTATCATTGTATACATAGAAACATACAGAAATATATGGAATTTTATGTTACAAAAAATTGACTATATGCATTTCTCTGTACTTGTTTGACTTAATTTTTTGTTGCTAACTTTTTGGAGGTCTTAAGACCATGATGCTTTTGCATTATTACTCAGTTCCTTGCCTCAATGAGTTTCTACACCGGTTGCTGCAACAGCTTATTTTCCTGCGTCTCAGTTTACGCATTCAGAATGATTGTCTCCGTTTTTTCAATGCTGGCGTATAGTCGTCCGTCAGCTTGATCGCTTCTGTTCGAATAAACCGGTTAACACTTTCTTGTGATTTTTCTTAGTTATTCCTCAGTTAGAGCAAAGGCTTACTTGGCTGTCTTCATGTGTCTTGCATAGCGGTTTGTTTCAAGTCAAAGACTCAAGTTACAAACTTGAACGAATTCTTACTGTGTGTACTACATTAGGAGTCATAACTATTTTATGCTGTTCAAAATTCAATAAAGAAATAATTGTCATCAACAACAATATGTATGAAGTACATACAGCTTCAAAGGAAAATTTTCTGGATTGTTTATTATTATCTCATCAAAGGCCACTAACGACAACGAGTTTTGAAACTTATCAAAAACCATTTCTATATTTTACTGAACAGTAATTTGAACATTTGGATACCATGAGCAAAGTAACATATTACCTAAGCAACCGTTTAAAAATCGATTTCTATACACAGTAATTTAGACAGAGTCTACACACTAATCCCAACGGAACAGGGAAAACACTTTCGAAGTGAACATTTACAGAGGAGGTTAAAAACAAACCGAACTTGACCATTCAATGGTTGACGCAGAACTGAAATCTTCAATGCCACCAAGTGACTTGTTATACAAATTAGATATAAAAGTTCTGTAGGAGCAGCAAGGTGTGTTGGTCTTCAAGAAATGAGGCAGCACACTACCTGCTTGAAGTTGGCGAACCAACATATTCAAGAGAATGGGATTGGAAAGAGAAACAGAGAATTTCTGACAAAAGAAAGTCTTAAGCCAATGGATGGATGCTTGACGTTAAAGAATCTCAAATAAAAAGAAATTGTAAGCATGGTAAATCTCACCTGTAAAATTCTCCACAAAATCTCTACAAACTCAAATTTCAACGATCGAGAACAATGTGCACCTGTTTTCTCTCTCTCTCTCTCTCTGCTCTCTTCGCCTGTTAATAACATGTCTGTTCGTACATATGTACATACATATTTATGTATTAATGTACATTTGGACCCATGTACATTCACAAAGTTTTATACAATCTCTATTAATTTTGTTATGAGCCTCGTAACGTTGAAAATCCAAGCTTATGAGTACAACTTTGACGTGGTAGTCGGGTTTTCTAAGCAAAGTTGCTTACTTTTCACTTTCACTAATAGTGTGAATGTGAGATCGCTTTTTCCGTATTTTTTGTGGTTTTTGTGTGGTTAAGGCTTAATCGGATTATACCAAAGCTACAAATGTGTGTGGGCTGCATTTTGAATTTATTTGTTCTATTTCGGATCGCTTGTACGGCTAGTCAATGACGTTTCGCCGTCTCTCAGAAAGTTGATTAGCCCACCTTTTTTGCAAAGACATAAAAAGATGCTCGACAAGCTGGCGTTACTTTCAAAGTGGTTATACATAAAGCTCGAATGGCCCATCAAACGGTGTTTGATTTCCAAATTTATGGGTCAAGCAAATGCAAATCAGTTTGGGGTCCGCTGTTCTCAAGAAACGGGTCGTGCTTGGATAACAAATAGAGTAAAGAAACAAATATTTACACATGTCTTTATATACATATGTATGTATGTATGCATAAACATAAACGGGCCAGTAGCTTGATACAGTTGTAAAGTCGACGGAGTCATCTTTGGAATAAAATATAATATAATATATATAATTTCCGAACAACAAGTTCTCAGAGATATTAAGACCTCAAGCAACCGAGTTTTTCATCAAGACTGTGATGCCTTACAAATAACGAAAATCTGTGCCCTTCGGCGAAGGAAAGCGAGCTAAAACGAAGTGTTGTATAGATGTAAATGACAGACATAGCAACAACAATATCAAGTGTAAAATTCGACATAAATCATAAGGTCGCATATGTAGGTACATATGATGTACATACAAGTATATACTGACTGAGAGCAGTGTATAAAAGTACCCGGTACTCACAACGTTACTTCTTGCTTGTATTCAAAACAATGAAGAAGGTATTACTAAGTATATAACAAAATGAACAGAAGATTATTATAGAACATGTCATTACTTAAAGGCGTCAATTTTGAAATATACGTTTGAGGTGATAAGAGAAGTGTTGTTCTTAATTGCAAAATAATGTCCCAAACTTATATCACTGTTGTCTCACTATGTTTTAAGTAATATTCTAGAAGTTTCCCTTTGGTCTGTCTGTACTGCAGCGTTTCATAAATAAGATTCGTTTTCAGGGCGTAACATCTATTATTTATAAATCGGCTAAACGATGTGCAAGTTAACGACAGTGCAAATTTTTTTTCTTCTTTATAGTTCTTGCTTAGCTTTTAAAGAAAATCTTTCCAAACCTCGCATAGTAGGCGGATTTTCTACCGATATTGTTAATGTACCATATATAGTATCCTTGCAGTTATACGGCAACCACCATTGTGGAGGCTCAATAGTAAATAATCATACTATTGTTACAGCGGCCCATTGCCTTGCGGGAATACCACGGCGCTTACTTAAAGTCAAAGTAGGTGGAACCACTAGTGATCCTGCGGATGGACAGCTTTTCTCGGCAGCTTCAATTCATTATCATGAAAAATGGTCTGCCTCGACAATGGATTATGACATTGGATTAATACGATTAGCCAATGATTTAACATACTCAAGAAAAGTTTGTGGTTTCGAGCGTTCTACTTGTTGTTCCATCTTATTGACGGTTTTCTTTTTCAGATAAAAGCTATTGGTATGAATCACAAACGCATACAAGACGGCTCATTTGCAACCATTTCCGGATGGGGCTTTACAACTGATAACGGTGCCAGTTCAAAAGTTTTACGTTTTGCCCGAGTGCCAATTGTTAATCAGACAGTTTGTACAAATTTACTTGGAAATAGAGTTACGGAACGTATGATTTGCGCTGGATATCTGAGCAGTGGTGGCGTGGATGCTTGTCAAATGGACTCCGGCGGCCCTTTAGTAGTGCGAGAGAAATTGATTGGCATTGTATCATGGGGAATTGGATGTGCTTTAACGAATAGGCCAGGAGTTTATGCACGAATTGGAATTTTGTTCCCTTGGTTTGATAATCTTATGAAGATTGAAAAAGATTAGCATCAATTTAGATTCTTTAAGCAATAGTTATTGATTATAATCAGAGCGCAACCGCAAGAAATTTAAAATGTAAGTAGTCGAGAGTATAGATAAGAATAACGAAACAATTATATTTAAAATGAAGCCCGAGAAGCCCATGAAAGAAACAAAACTTTCCTTTTTATGTAAAACCATGTTTTCTTAATGTAAAGTAGGCTACATTATGTCGGCATGAACCGGGTTTTAAAGGCCACCTATCTTAGTGCATCCCTAAACCGAAACGGTGAACGCGTTTACAACATGCCTTTAACAACATGCCATGTGTAAGAAAGGATTAGACAACCTTTTCTATAGATATATAGATCGAAAACAAACAGAAATCGGAGTCTCTGAAATGAAGACCAAAAAATGTCGCGTAGAAGACATTTCATTTTGTAAAATGCATCAGTACGGTTGTACCGTTGAATAAGAAAAATTAAAGAATTTTAAGATATGTACTTTGAATTCGAATCATTAAATGCTATCACTTTCAAAACACAACAAGATTCTCCGTTATTGCGGAAGGTATATGAAGGTTGCAGTATCATTTATAATATTGAAAATTATAATTTTAGGTCGTAGGCCAGAAACTTACAAATGATTTTGAAAATGTTTGTTGACTTGATCGAATAGTATTGGTGGTACGGTGGGACTGTGTTTGACTGTCTAGGAAAGGTTCCTCTCGCGAAAATAGTTTCCTGGATTGGGGTCGAATCTGACGAGCTTCTCCCTGTGCTTACCACCCATCCCAGTATTCTCGCTCCACAGCCTTTGGAGGGCCGTTGGCGGGTAGGCCGCTTGGTGCAAGAGCCGCATGCGGTGTCCGGTGAGCGGGAAGCTATAGTCACTGGAGTATTTCTGCGGATCGAAATTATGCGTCTGGCCGACAGAGTTGGCCAATTTTTCGCTTATGAAGCCACCCTCCTGGCGGCCCGGCTGTGCCTTCTTTTTCTTCTTCGTCTTGGGCTTGTTGCGCATTAGAGGCTTCTTAGGCTCCTGATGTACATTGCCCTTGCCGTATATCCAGTCGAAGGGTTTCTTTCGCTCCCCGAGCACGCAGGCGCCGTATTGTACGAAGGCATTTGGAGGATGAGGGAACATGCTGGGCATGGCCCAGTCGTTCTCGTTGTACTGCGTTTCGCAGTGCTTCACGTGCGTCTTCCTAAGTCTTTCCGGATGCATGAGACCTGCCGGCGGGGTGACTCCAAACTCATACTCTGCCTCACTGTCTGTGGTTTCGGAGAGGATGAGATTATCTTCGCAGTTGTCTACCTGGCGTCGCTTGCACTCTTTTTTGAGGTTGTAGACCAGGCGTTTCTTATCGATGAAGCTTCGGCAATAACATTCAGTCACGGGCTTGTGGCAGCTGCACTTGCTGAAGCCCATGCTTTTAAGGCAGCGCTTTAGGTCACGCAGCTCCTTCAGTTGCGGATTCTTTACGATGCGGAACTGGACGGGTTTCATATTGACGTAAGGGTTGGCGGACTGTTTCAGCGTTTCCGTATCCTTGAGGGGACGCAGAGTGATAATGTACTCGTCGTTCTTCTTATCGATGTGCAGCGTCGGAACCTGCACCAAGTCCTCGGGCTTCTCCTCGTAATCGGCAGGCGGCCGCTGCCTGCCGTTGTAGTAGGTCATGTACTTCGATACGGGGATGGTGTCCACGGGGTAGTCCTTGAGGAAGTAGCGCATCAGCTCTCGTATAGATCGGCGTATGGCTCCCGGTCGCCATCCGGGCTTCTTGGCCAGAGGGTGTGCGGTCCAGAGCCACCCCATGTGACTCGGCACCTTCGCGTCGCCGTCAAAGCAGTCTGCATGGCTGCGCACAGCATGTCCATCTCTTCCTTTGGGTAGCATTGCGTAGAACTTGGACTTGAAGGGCATTTTCCGGCGTGGGGGTCGCTTCTTCCGTTTCTTGAGCACTGCGCACGAATCCTGAATAATCTTGCCCTTATCCTTGACATCTGCAGGCTTCCGGTAATGGCGTTGCTTTGAAACTCTGGAAAGGTTGCAAGCCTCCTCGCAAATCTCCTCAATCTTTTGACTCTTGTCGTTCGACTTATCTTTGAACAGCTCGTTTAGCTCTGCGAATACACTGGCTAGATGCGGCTGCAGTTGCTTTTCTTCGGCTTCCTTAGCTATTGACAAACGCCGCTTTTTGTGGGTATGTGGAGATAGTTCTACCTTTTCTGACTTTTTAATACATTTCTTCAGCAACTCGAAGTCGCGCACTATGGAATCGAACGCCTCCGACGTGGGCCCGTCATCTGCGCAACTTCTGTCCGAACAGCCGCTTATGGAGGCAAAATCAAAGCAAGCTGGATCTTCAGGCTGGTCGAGATGGGTTAGTAGGATTTTGTCAGCTGTTGCATCTTCGTCGTATGGCTTCTCCTTAAACATGGGCACTGGTTTGTAGCCACAGTAGGGACACGCCCCTATCTTTGGCAGCCAAGATACGTCCTCCTCGCAGACTTGGCAAAAGCGGCATGAGCTGATAAGCGTCTGCTTCAGGTCCGGCACCGGCACCTGATGGCACAAGCGGTTGGTCGCGCCATCCCCGAATATTGGCTGCCGTTCGTGTGAGAACTGATCCGATGGCCCGTATGGAGGTTCAATGGCCACGCAGGGGTCCTCTGCGTCTGGGCAGCCATAGACAGCGTAGGGTCCTGCCATATCGACTAGCTTCATGGACTGACCCTGAAACAGATTGTACACCGGTTGTGAAGTGTATCGATTTGGGAGTTTGAAGACTGACCTCGGGGCCACAGGATTGGTTCAGAAAACCAGCGTCGTTGACGTTGCGCATGTTGCGGGTGCGGAACTTGGAAAGGAAGCTTTGGGGATCCGAGCAACGGTGATCAGACTCCTCCATGCCATCGGGCCTGAATCCCCGACATGGATCCGTGGAGGAGGATGCAAATGCTTGAGAGCTGTCTCCGACCATGAAAAAGACATCCTGAGGGTCCACAAACTTCTCGATGCATCTCTTAAGATCATCGTTCTCCAAGCTTAAACCAGAGGCGGTCTCGTTTATTTCTCTATTGAAGTTCAGGGGCTATCGCATTTAGGTGGCTTCAAGTTCCGTCACTGGTGCTACTTACTCTTTAATGCTTTGACACCGCATCTGCATAGATATTCTTACGGTGGCCATGCCGACAGTGCATCCACGGCAGGTAAGCTCCACTTTGGCAGTGTGCACCACTTGTTGCAGAGTGTTGCACATGAGCAAGATCACCGACTCGGGCAGCACATAGCACCCTCGACCTTAACGAGATTGAAACTGATTTTAGAACATTTCCAGCAGGTGGGTGTTGCTGTAAGTACGTACCGATTTCCTTTTTCATATAGACCACTGCGATGGAGATGCCCTCTGCTAGACGCTTTGACAGACACTCGCCCTCCATGGGGAAGGTCATGATCGGTTCAGGGGGCAGACACAGCGCGTTGATACGATCCGCTTTAAGGCTTGGCGCAACGCCTTTGCAGATGTCCGCTTTGATGCTCAGCTTGTCTTGACATTCAAAGTCCCTTCCCGGCATGTACAGCTTCTGGACGACCATATTGAGGGTGAAACAGCGTATGTCGTCCTTGTTGGACTTGCTTTTCTGACTAGGCCCAGAACAGATCGTTTCAGTCTGATCGATGGGTGGGCAGGTGGAGCAGCACACATCGGTGTCTTTCGGGAACATCTGTCTCTCCCGGTTGTTCTGCCTGGTGGTACACCTCATGTAGTCGGCCTTGTCTCTGTCCATTTTGGTAGTAACCAAACAGCGATGGTGGTCAAAGCTCTTCCTATCCTGCTTCTTTGGTTCCGTCTCATTCTCCTTCTTCTCGACAGTGGCCATTGTTCAATCAAATTTGGAACACGAGTCAAAAAATATCCTTCCACAAATAATTTAAAACACGCGAGCAACGCTACGAAAAATTCACATAAATTGTAACAATTTGTACAGGCCTGAAAACTTATGAGTTAACGCCCTGAACTATCAATAGAGAGTGAGACTACTGGCCCTGCGCGTCTTACTATACAAACATTCTCTCACGAAAGCAAAAATCAAGGCACTCTTTTTGCTCCGAATATTTTCACCTACTTACAGCTTTTTTATTCATGCGTTAGGTTAAGGCGGCAGCCTGGGGGAGAGATGTTTTTTTCTATATCTATGCTTTTACTTTTTTCCTATCTTCACAGTTGTGAAAGCAGCTGATTTTCGACTCTTTGTGGGGACGGGGCGAAATATTAAAAGACACTAAAAACAGTGTGAACAATAATCTCGACGCAAAATTTGGTTGCTGTAGCTTTTATAGTCTCTGCTCAGACGGTCAGACAGACATGGATATATCGGCTATTGATGCTGCTCAGGAATATATATACTTAATGGGGCCGGAAACGATTGCACAAATACCGTATACCCTATATACTCTTCGATAACCGGATATAAAAATGGACACTGCGGCAAATCTGCTATCAACTGCTTACTTCCAACTGAACTAGAAAGCCAAACGAGAGCACAAATATATACATATCGCGTACACTGCCTATATGCCTTTGTTTTAATATCTGACCTTGGCAACATTCCAGTTAATTCGAGTCAAGTCTAGTGGCATTTTGCCATAAACAAATAGAAGTATAAGTCGAATAAGTAAATATTCACATGAAAGGTTTAATTACGTTCGGCAAACAACTCTTTTTTAAGTTCAAAATTTTCAGTGCATTTTTTGTGTAATATTCAACATAAACTGAAGTACCTGGTCAATGCAGACTCATCGTCTGCGACCAACCAATTTCGCTATAGCGATTAAATACAAAAAAAAACGAGAAGGGACGTGTGAGACGCTTCTTACGCGTCACAACTTTTATACCCGGCACTCAGGACTACATCTAGATGTACAAGACATCGCCAACCACTAGTATCGTTCACATTACAGAACACGTAGTAAAAAGCCTACTAAATAAAATGCATTAAAAAAATTGGATCAGTTAATCGTATTTTCCAATTTATGAGATATTTAAAACATAAATAAAATTGGTACTTTTTCCCTGCACATTCTGTGCAATAATGACCGATAGGTTTCACATCAGATTTTTCGAAAGTGGCACCATTTAT